CTTTCTCCACTGTATGTTCTTGGCTCCTTTGTCAAAAATTAGTTGTCTATAAATGTGTCGGTTTATTTCTGGGCTCTCAATTCTGTTCCGTTGATCTGTGATTCTGTTTTTCTGCCAGTATCATGCTGTTTTGATTGCTATAGCTTTGTGGTATTATTTTGAAATCAGGGAGTGTGATACCTTCAGCTTTGTTCTTTTTTCTCAGGATTCCTTTGGCTATTTGAGGTCTTTTGTTGTTCCATGTAAATTTTAGGATTCTTTGTTCTATTTCTCAGAAAAATGTTGTTGGGACTTTGATAGGGATTGCATTGAATCTGTAGATTGCTTTAGATAATATGTACATTTTAACTGTGTTAATTCTTTCAAACCATGTGTATGGAACATCTTTTCATTTATTTGTGTCTCCTTCAATCTCTTTCAACGATGTCTTATAGTTTTCAGTGTACAAGTCTTTCATCTCCTTGGTTAAGTTTATTCCTAGGTATTTTGTTCTTTTTGTTGTGATTGGAGATGGGATTGTATTCTTGATTTCTCTTTCTGCTAGTTCATTGTTAGTGTATAGAAACACAACTGATTTTTGTATGTTGATTTTGTACCCTGCAACTTTACTATATTCATTTATTATTTCTAATATATTTTTTGGTGGATTCTTTAGGGCTTTATATATATAAAATCATGTCATTTTCAAATGGTGACAGTTTTACTTCTTTCTTTCCAATTTAGATACCTTTTATTTGTTTGTCTTGCCTAATTGTTCTGGCTGGGACTTCCAATACTATGTTGAGTAAGAGTGGTGAGAGTGGGCATTGTTGTCTTATTTCTGTTCTTAGGGGGATAGAATTCAGTTTTTCACCATTGAGTATGATGTTAGCTGTGGGTTTGTTGTGTGTGGCTTTTATTATGTTGAAGTATTTTTCTTCTATACGCATTTTATTGAGAGTTTTTATCATAAGTGGATGCTGAATCTTGTCAAATGCTTGCTCTGCATCTATTGAGATGATCATGTGATTTTTATTCTTCATTTTGTTACTATGATGTATCACATTGATTTGTGAATGTTGAACTATCCCTGCATCCCTGGAATAAATCCCACTTGATCATGGTTTATCATCCTTTTAATGTATTGTTATATTCAATTCGCTAGTATTTTGTTGAGGATTTTTGCATCTATGTTCATCAGTGATATTGGCCTGTGATTTTCTTTTTTTGTGTTGTCCTTGTCTGGTTTTGGTATCAGGGTAATGTTGGCCTCATAGAATGGGTTAGGAAGCTTTCCCTCCTCTTCAATTTTTTGGAAGAGTTTGAGAAGGATAGGTATTATATCTCCTGTAAATATTTGGTAGAATTCACCAGAGAATCTATCTGGTCCTGGATTTTTGTTTTGGGGATATTTTTGATTATCATATCAATCTCCTTACAAGTGATCAGTCTATTCAGAGTCTTATTTCTTCTTGATTCAGTTTTGGAAGGTTGTATGATTCTAGGAATTTACCCATTTCTTCTAGATTATCCAATTTGTTGGCATTTCTGTGTAGATTTCTGTGTCATGTAGATGATGTCATGTTCACCACCCAAAGACTAATTACAATCCATCACCACATGCATGTGCCTAATCACCCCTTTTGCCCTCCCCCCATCCCCTCCAGTAACCACCAATCCAATCTGTCTTTATGTGATTGCTTGTTTTTGTTTTTATCTTCTACTTATGAGTGAGAGCATATGGTATTTGACTTTCTCCCTCTGACTTATTTCACTTAACATAATACCCTCAAGGTCCATCCATGTCATCACACAAGCTGGATTTCATCATTTTTTACAGCTGAGTAGTATTCCATTGTGTATATATGCTACATTTTCTTTATCCATTCATCCCTTGATAGGTACCTAGGCTGCTTCCGAGTCTTGGCTATAGTGAATAATGCTGCAGTGAACATAGGGGTGCATGTATCTTTACACATTCATGTTTTCATGTTCTTTGGATAATTACCCAGCAGTGGAATAGCTGGATCATATGGTAGTTCTATTCTTAATTTTTTGAGGAATCTCCATACTGTTTTCTGTAGTGGCTGCACCAGTTTGCACTCCCACCAGCAGTGTATGAGAGTTTCCTTTTCTCTACATCCTCTCCAGCACTTGTTGTTTCCTGTCTTGTTAGTTATAGCATTCTGATGGGAGTGAGGTGATATCTCACTGTAGTTTTGATTTGCATTTCCCTGAGAGTTAATGATGTTGAACATCTTTTCATGTACCTGTTGGCCATCTGTATATCTTCTTTGGAGAAATGTCTGTTCAGGTCCTTTGCCCATTTTTTAATTGGGTTTTTAGTTTTTTTGTTGTTGAGATGTATGAGTTCTTTATGTATTTTGGATATTAACCCCTTATCAGATATATGGTTTGCAAATATTTCTTCCAATTGTTAAGTTGTCTTTTCATTTTGTTGATGGTTTCCTTTGCTGTGCAGAAGATTTTTAGTTGGATGAGGTCCCATTTGTTTATTTTTTCTATTGTTTCTCCTGCCCTGTCAGACATGGTGTTTGCAAATATACTGCCAAGACTGATGTTGAAGAGTGTACTGCCTGTGTTTTCTTCTAGAATTTTCATGTTTTCAGGTCTTACATTCAAGTCTTTAATCCATTTTGAGTTAATTTTTGTGTATGGTGTAAGATAATGGTCTACTTTCCTTCTTTTGCATATGGCTGTCCAGTTTTCCCAGCACCATTTATTGAAGAGACTTTTCTTTCTCTGTTGTATGTTCTTAGCTCGTTTGTCGAAGATTAGCTGTCCATAGATGTATGGGTTTGTTTCTGGGCTCTCCATTCTATTCCATTGCTCTGTGTGTCTGTTTTTGTGCCAGTACCATGCTGTTTTGGTTACTACAGCTTTGTGGTATTATTTTGAAATCAGGGAGTGTGATTCCTCCAGCTTTGTTCTTTTTTCTCATGATTCCTTTGGCTATTTGGGGTCTTTTGTTGTTCCATATAAATTTTAGGATTCTTTGTTCTATTTCTGTGAAAAATGTTGTTGGAACTTTGATAGGGTTTGCATTGAATCTATAGATTGCTTTGGGAAGTATGGATATCTTAACTATACTTAATTCTTGATTAACTTAACTATGTTAATTCTTCCAATCCAAGAGCACAGAATATCTTTCCATTTCTTGTGTCTTCATCTATTTCTTTCAACAGTTATGGTTTTCAGTGTACAGATCTTTCACCTCTTTGGTTAAGTTTACTCCTAGGTATTTTGTTCTTTTTGCTACAACTGTGAATGAGATTTTACTCTTAATTTCTCTTTCTGCTGCATCATTGTTAGTGTATAGAAATCCAACTGATTTTGTGTGTTGATTGTGTATCCTGTAACTTTACCATATCCATTTATTATTTCTAAAAGTGTTTTGGTGGATTCTTTAGGATTTTAGGTGAATTTCTATATATAAAATCATGTCATTTGCAAATAGTGACAGTTTCACTTCTTCCTTTCCAACTTGGATCCCTTTTATTTCTATTTCTTGCCTGATTGCTCTGGCTAGGACTTCCAATACTATGTTAAATAAGAGTGGTGAAAGTGGGCATCCTTGTTGTGTTCCTGGTTTCTTGGTGATAAACTCCTGTAATTTTTGCTTGTCTTGGAAACTCTATCTCTCCTTCCATTCTGAATGATAACCTTGCTGGGTAGAGTATTCTTGGCTGTATGTTTTTTCCTTTTGGCACTTTAAATATATCATGTCACTCTCTTCTAGCCTGTAAGGGTTCTGCTGAGAAGTCAGTTGATAGCCTTATGGGGTTTCCTTTGTATGTAACTTGTTGGCTTTCTCTTGTGGCTTTTAGGATTCTCTCTTTATCTTTAATTCTTGGTATTTTAATTATAATGTGTCTTGTGTGGGCCTCTTTGGGTTTATCTTTTTTGGTGCTCTCTATGCTTCCTGTGCTTGGATGTCTGTTTCCTTCCTTAGGTTATGAAAGTTTTCAGCTGTTATTTCTTCAAATAGATTCTCTGCCCCTTTGTCTCTCTCTTCTCCTTCGGGGCACATATAGTATAAATGTTATTGCACTTGATGTTGTCCCAGAAGTCCCTTAGACTGTTCTCATTCTTTCTAATTTTTTTTCTTTTATCTGTTCAGCTTGGTTGATTTCCTCTAGTCTTTCGTCCAGCTCATTGATCCGTTCTTCTGTATCATCTACTCTGCTGTTGAGTTCCTCTAGTGAATTTTTCATTTCCAGCATTGTATTCTTCATTTCTGATTGGTTCTTTTTTGTATTTTCCAATTCCTTGTCAACATTCTCACTGAGTTCCTCCATTCTTCTCCCAAGATCAATGAGCATCCGTATGACATTTTGTTTGAACTCTTTGTCAAGTAGATTGTTTATTTCTGTTTCATTTAGTTCTTTTTCTTGGGTTTTGTCCTGTTCTCTTACTTGGAACATATTCCTTTGCCTCCTTATTTTGCCTCTTCCTCTGTGCTTATATCTATGTCTTAGGTAGGTCAGCTATGTTTCCTGATCTTGGAGAGGTGGCCTTATGTAAGAGATGCCTTATGAGGCCCAGCAGTATGCTTGCCTCCTGTCACTAGTTCCAAATGTTCCAGGAGTGATGCCTGTGTGGGCTATGTGTGCCCTTCTGTTATGGTAGGGTTGCTCTTGCTTCAGGTGCCCAGGGAGGCTAGGCTGTCCCCCTGACTAGCTGGTTGTAATGCTGAGCTGTGTGTGGCTGCTATGGACCCTTCAGTCACTTTATCAGGTGTAGGGGGCACCAGCACAGTCAGCTACAAGGTCTAGTAGCACATTCCTGTTGTGGTTTTTCTGTTAAGTGAGTGGCCCCTCAGCCTGACTGGTTGCTAGGCTCAGGGGCTTACAATTGCTGTAGGCCTCCAGCCTGCAAGCCTGTTTTCAGCTCTATCAGGATTACAGCTGAGTGGGGCTGACCCAGGCATGGGAGCACCCAGTTGTTTCAGGCTCTGGAGGGTGAGGCAAATCCCCTTGGTGGCTGTTAGAGAAACACACGTCTTCTGCAGCTGACGAGCCCCACCATCCACAGGGCCACACACACTGTCAACACAGTCCTACCCTGTGCATGCACCCCAAGCCCCTAAAGTGGACTCAGTCACCCCACTGCAGAGGCCCCACACACTCCTCCTGCTCCTCAAGCACACCCTGCCCCACAGAGTCGGACCCACTTGCCTGGCTGCAGAGGATCCAGGCACCCAGCCTATGCAGGCCCAAACAAGTTGCCCAAGGGCTTGCTGTTGGGTGGGGCCAGTCCCTAGGGCAGGCTGAGCTAGATTAAATGAGTTCTCTAGTGGGTGGTGCAGACCCCTGGGCTAACAGGCCAGGGGAAGAACTCCAATGGCGTCTGTCATGTCTGTGTCACAATAAGGGCTGCTGCCACTGTCTCAGTCCCTGGAGAGGTCTCACCTCTCAACAGATGCACCAAGAGCCTATTAGGTGAATCTCTTCACCAAAGGACTGTGCACCTTTCTTTCTGGTGATTTTAGGTTGCTTTCTGAAATGGGTGAATTTGTGGAAGGGGCCTTTAAGAGCTGGCTTTTTTTCCTTTATGTCTGTTAGCTTTTCTGGGGGTATTCCCCATTGTTGTTAGCAACCAGCAAAGCCAGATATTATGACACTCATCTCGGTTGTGCTGGGTCCAAAATCTGCTTATAATGGTAATGCTCCCCTACTCAGATCTCCCACTCCTCCAGCGAAGGCTGCATACCTTTGGATTTCTCCTGGCCAGCCATGAAGCACTGTGGCTTGTGAAGGTGATTTTTTTTCTCTCCAGAAAGGAATTTCTGCCTCTTCCACCTCAGTCAGCACTGTCCTTTGTTGTGGGGATTCTTTTTATCCAGTTCCAGTTCTCTCTCGGGGTAATTGTTCCAAAAGTAGTTGCAAGTTTGTTGTGTCCATGAGAGGAGGTGAGTTCAGAGTCTGTCTATGCCGCCATCTTGACACCCACCTCTCCTGTTTCTTGATGTAAGCCTGTATTGCTATAACAATCCCTCTTAGTACTGCTTTTGCTACGTCCCATACATTTTCATTTTCATTTCTCTAGGTTTTTTTTTTCATTTCTCCTTTGATTTCTTCATTGATCCAATAGTTGTTCAGTAGCATATTGTTTAGTTCTCCACATGTTTGTGACTTTTCAAACTTTCTTCTTGTAGTTGATTTCTAGTTTCATACCATTGTGGTCAGAAAAGATACTTAATATGATTTCAATCTTCTTAAATTTATTGAGACTTGTTTTGTTTCCCAGAATATGGTATGTCTTTGAGAATGTTCTGTGTGCACTTGAGAAGAATGTGTATTCTGCTGCTTTTGGATGGAATGTTTTATATATATCTGTTAAGTTCAACTGGTCTAATGTTCCACTTAAGTACAATGTTACTTTGTTGACTTTTTGTCTGGACAAACTATCCATTGATGTAAGTGGGATATTAAAGTCCCCTACTATTATTGTGTTGCCATTAATTCTCCCTTTAGGTCTGTTAATAATTATTTTGTATACTTTGGTACTCCTATGTTAGGTGTATATATATTAGTAAGTGTTGTGTCTTCTTGATGGATTATCTTCTTTATAGTTGTATAATGTCCATCTTTTTCTCTTGTTGTATTTTTTGGCTTGAAGACTATTTTGTCTGATATAAGTATGATTACACCTGCTTTCTTTTGGTTGCCGTTTGCTTGAGGTATCATATTCCATCTCTTCACTTTGAGCCTACATTGAACCTTGTCTTTAGAGCTAAAATGGATTTCCTGGAGGTGGCACATTTTTGGGTTTTGTTTTTTAATTCATCCAGTCACTCTGTGTCCTTTGATTGGTGAATTCAATCCATTACATTTAAGGTAATTATTGAGATGTGAAGACTTTTAGGGCCATTTTATCTTTTGTTTTCTGGTTGTTCTATATTTCCATGGTTTCTTTTTCCTTGTGTTTCTGTCTGCAATTTCAGTTTGGTGGTTTTCTATGATGTTTTTCTCAGTTTCCTTTTTATGTTTTGTTACTCTGTTCTAAACTTTTGTTTTGTGGTTACCATGTGATTTGTATAAAAGGCCTCATAGATAAGGTACTCCTTTTTCGGCTGATAGCCTTTTCTCTTCATTTGCCTATGTATGTTCCATCTTTTTCTTCTTCCCCTTTTGTCTTTTTGTTGTCAGAAATTATCCCTTTTTGAATTGTGAGTTAGTTACTAAATTGAAGTGGTTATAGTTATTATTAATTCTTCCTTTCCCTTTAACCTTTATGTTATAATTAAATATGTACTATTCTGTTCTGATAAAATTTGCAATTTTATGATTCTGTTTATATATTTATCACCTTGCTCAAAGCTTTGTAAACCTTTGCCTTTTCATTTCAGGTAGGAGGCCTTCTTTCAGCATTTCTTGTAAGGCAAGTCTACTGGCAGTGAACTCCCTCTTCTTTTGTTTCTCTGGGAAAGGCTTCTTTTTCTCCTTCATATCTGAAAGATGATTTTTCTGGATAGAGTATTCTTGGCTGACCGTTTTCATCTTTCAATATTTTGAATATATCTCTCTACTACTCTCTCCTGGCCTTTAGGATTTCTGCTGAGAAATCTGCTTATAGTCTAATGGGGATTCCTTTGTATTTTATTTTCTTTTTCTCCCTGGCTACTTTTAATATTCTTTTTTGCCACTGATTTTTGAATTTTATTATCATGTGTCTTGGAGAAGGACTTTTTGCACTGAGATAATCAGGTGTTCTATTAGCTTCATGGATTTGTATATCCAGTTTCTTCCCCAGGTTTGGGAAGTTCATAGTTATTATTTCTTTAATTAATCTCTCTATTCCCTTCTCCCTCTTTTCTCTTTCTGGGATACCCATTACCCTTAGGTTGACCTTTCTAATGGAGTTGATTAATTCTAGTAGAATTTCTACAAGTTTTTTAAGTCTTAATTCTCTCCTCTTCTACCTGCATCATTTCTGGGTTTCTATCTTCAAACTTGCTAATTCTCTCTTCCATATGATCAACTCTATTACCAATCTTCATCTCATTTATCGAGTTCTTCAGCTCCAGAATTTCTGTTTGGTACTTTTTTAGAGTTTCAATCTCTTTGATGAACTATTCCTTCAGTTCATTGATTTTATTCCTGAGCTCATTGAACAGCCTTTCTGAGTTTTCTGGTAGCTCATTTAGTTTGTTTGTGACAGCTATTTTGAATTCTTTATCAGTTAAGATCACAATCTTCCATGACTTTATGTTTCATTTCTGGAGAATTGCTTTCTTTTTGAGGTGCCATATGTCATGGCTTTTTGTGGTGCTTGCTGAGTTATTCCTCTGCCAGCACATTTGTTGTAGCAAACACGTTTTTTATTTAGGTATAGCTTTGTTTTGATTCAAACTTTACAACAGTTGGAGATTATAAGCCTTTGTTTTGTTTTCCAGCAGGTGGCACTATAGCGCTAATTTTTGGTATCTCTTATCTGAGCTACCTCTCACTATATTTGAGGATCTGCAAGTTCCACCCTCCACTGCCTCTATTTGGGGTGTTGCCAGTACTCTTGTTGTCATTGCCTGAACTTCTGGGTGTCACTGATGCCTTGCTATTGCTGGTATCACTGTAGTCACTGGCTTTGCCAATGGGGATACAGGGATGGCTTTTGCCTCAGCCACATCCTGGATCATCTGGGTTGTAAGCTCTGCCACTGTGGTGGGGGGAGGGTGGGAGTGGAGAGGGAGCCTGGTATGCAGGGCACCATCTCAGCTGTTGCCTGTTACATTGTGGTTATAGGCGCTGCTCTGGGTTGGGATGTTGGAGTTCTGTGCGCACCTCCATGGCTGCTACCAGGCGTCAGGCTGAGGGTGGGGAGCGTGGGATCATGGGGCTCCATCTTTGCTGCCTCTCCACTTCTTGTGGCCACAGGTGCCATTGTGGCTGGCTGGAGTTGCACATGTGCCACTGCTCCTGCCCACCAAGTTCTCTGGGGCTAGGGGTGGCTGACTCAGTGACTGCAGCTAGGATCCAGGATCCTGAGCTCTGCCTCTGCTATTTCTCCATTTAGCCTTCTCTCTGTGCTCCAATTCATCCACCTTCGTATATACCAAAGTGTGGATCTTTCTGGTGCCCTGGTGTGTTGCACAATGTAGCCTTTGTCAGGTCATGCATGTTTTATTCACTGTAGATTGAAGGGGAGAGACAAAAGGATCCTCTCACACCACCATGATGATCTCTTTTTTATTCTTTAATCATAAAAGCATTTAAGAACACAAATTTTTCTGTAACTACAGATTTTACTGTGTTCCATATAGTCCTGTAAAAAATTCTCCTTTTTATTTGATTATAAATAGTAATGCCCTTTAAGTAATTAGCATTGTTATCAACCTATCAACCATAATCCTAACTATTAAGAGATCATGATTCAAGATAATGTACAACTTAAAAACTTACTATACTGAAAAAAAAAGAAATTTAATTTTACAGTATGTTAATTAAAAACATACATGCTTTAAAATTTTATTGGCTCTGTTTAGGAGAGACACAACATAGAAAAATAATGTTGATCAAAATTAATTACTGATGTAATAATTTCAGACAAATCTGAATTCTCAAGAGTAAATATCAAACAAGACAAAGTGTTTTAAATTAATAAATGTTCACCCATCATTAAGAAGGAAGAGGCTTTATGCACTGAAAATATTTCAATACCCACATTTAGATCCAGGTGTAGAAAACTTGTTATAAAATTTCAAGAAGTAGACAAAAATGCTATGGGACTGCTTCACTAAAACACACCTCTCAGTCCTTTTCATTGAATTACAATAAAATAAAGAGCCCCAAAACTCTAGATGCATAAAGAGGATCTTGAAAATTGCCTGATTTTAGATTTCCCATTAATGCCAGTGTGTGGGAACTGAGTTAGAACTGGTTTTATTTAGGAAAAGTGAAAGAATGTGACATGTTTGTATTTATAGTGTAGTGGCTCAAATTTGTTTCATTTATGCTCTTCCCTCCCCATTACATAATTTCATTTTCCGATGAGATTTCCCACTCAACAAAAAGATGACAATTATATTTACTATTAAACAAAATAGAACAATAATAAAGTGCTAAACCACCTCTGCAATTATAAAATGCAACTTCAAAGAAAATAGGTAGGAGAAAATATATGAATAAAACATAAGCAAAAACCTGTAAGTTATTAAAGAAAAAAATTGAAAAAGGTTATATGACAAAAAGATCTAAAGACATACAAATGTTCCAATATTAGAAAAATTATTATAATAGTAATATAAATGTCCATGGAGGCCACGTGTGATTGTCTTTAGAGATGATGAGATGGTGTGTGTGGAGATGAGGAATATAAGAAAATTAAATCATCATCTCTCTTAGTAGGAAGGAAGCTGATAAAACTGTAAATTGAATAATTTTGTAAGAGTAGTATAAATATGCTATTTAGAAATATAGAGTTAAATACCAGAAGAAACAGCTACAAGTGTTGAATATAGCTGTCATTAAGGAGCAGGAATTAGGAGTGGGAAGAAATAAATTAGGAAACACCTTTCTTCTGTTATAAGGCTAGCAATTCAATTTGACTTTTAAAAAATATGTACAAGTATTGCAGTGAAAAAAATTAAATGAAAAGATTCAGAAGACATATGGAGTATGTCTCCAATTACGTATTTATGTATATTTATATATATACACATATATATATACAAACACACATGCACACTCATATATGTATAAAAATGCTATCAGATAAATGATGAAGTGCTCACAGTGTTATCACAGACCAATGGCATTATGGTAAATAAAAAAAAAATTTTTTATTAAATCTGCCAAATACATGCAAGCACTGTGTTAAGTACTGGGAATGCTAAGATGGATAAGATGCAGACTGCCACCACCAAAGATGCTATCTGGAGCCATGTCTCCAGACAGTTGAGAGACAGTGCAACTGCAAGCCGCCTCTAGCCAGTCTTTTAATCAATTTATTGTTTTGTCTTTTCTTCTTTGTTCTTTGTTACTCTGAGGAGGGGGGGGAGTTAACAAACTGCGTTGTTACTACTGGAATCAGGGAGCAAAAGCAAAAAGTTCTTGATAATTGTCATGTGCTACACACTCAGAGCATTCATATTTCTATCTGATATTCATAAAGCTGTGCTGACTACTCATATATTTTGTAATGCAAGAAGATTGCATCTTCCACAGCAATGCATTATTTATTTCAGAAGCTATTTTTGTGGTTTTCTCTGTGTGTTATTTTTATTTTCTATGAACTTCCCGTGTTTTAATCTTTTTATTCTTAAAAATATGTTCATCAAAATGATTGCTTTAATGTAAGATGCTGATTGTATTTGTTGTTATTTCTTAATATGTATAAGACATCTTTAGATAAATGTCATAAAAATCAAATCTTTACATTATAAGAGGAAATGTTTGTAACAGAGAAACAGATGGCTAATGGGCTGTGACTCATCACAAATGGGTTCTAAGTTTTATAACAAGAATCTATCAGCAGATAGGAAAATGTAACTGGACAAAGACCACTTGCCTGGAGTTAGTACACAAGCTAATTTTAGACCATTTCACTTTTTTTCTCCTGAATGACGTGAACAAGATGATTTTGCTGAAAACAATTGAACAAGACTGGCAAATGCATAATTCTTCAGACCATGAAATCCCAATTGGTCCAATCACAGATAAATTTACCATGCCTACAGAGATGTTATTGTAGCAACAAGTGGTGTTCTCTCCACTGTGATAACTAGTGAATGGAAGGGGGCCAGTTTGCAGTGTAATCTGCTCAAGCATGTGTCTTCGGACAATTTTTTTTGAATCAAAGGATTCTTCTGTAATTTAGCTTTTTTCCTCTTAATACTCTTGACAAATGCCATTACAAAGTCTCTTGACGAGAGATTTTATGCATTATTTGGAAGTGTTTCTGCTGTGATTGTGAATAGTTGTATAGCAATAAGATATACAAGTTGTCCACCAAGTGGGGCAGGTTTAAATGAGCTATAACCCTGCTAGTAACTGTAATAATATTGTGTATCAAGTATGAGCTAAACTCTTGAAGGCTGTGCTATGAAAGAGACAAATCAGATAGAAGATTTATACAAGGAGGCTGAGAAATAGTTCAAGGCAGATTCAGAAGCCCAACATCCAAGTTGAGGAACTAAGTCAAGAAACAGGATCTAGGAGGGTCCAGCCCCGTGGCCTAACGGTTAGGTGCGCGTGCTCTGCTGTTGGCAGCCTGGGTTCCAATCCCGGGCGCGCACCGACGCCCCGCTTGTCAGGCCATGCTGTGGCGGCCTCCCATGTAAAGTGGAGGAAGATGGGCACGGATGTTAGCTGAGGGCCAGTCTTCCTCAGCAAAAAAGAGGAGAATTGGCATGGATGTTAGCTCAGGGCTGATCTTCCTCACAAAAAAAAAAAAAAGAAAAGAAACAGGATGTAGTTGGAAATCCAGACATGATCCTAGAATCTACAGAAAAGTGAGTGAGTCCTGGCGAAAAATCAATGACTTTCACTCTCTCCCCAGATGGTTGGTCTCTAGTTGAAAGTACAGTCTCATAGCTTTCTCTTCTGCCTAACAAAGCCCACTCGTTACTGAAAATGGAACCTGACCTGAAAGCTGACTCTTTTCTTCAATCCTCCATCTTTCTCAAAGCAACTTGTCCTTAGAGGATGGAAAAACGGGCTGGAAAACCTGTGAGATTTGCTGTCACTAATTCTGAGTGTGCAACAGGAAAGAAGCTAGGAGGAGTATGGATTGGGCCTTTGCCAGGAGAAACACACAGTGACAATAGGTCTCTCAAGATGTACCTCCCGGGCAGCCAGGAACTTCTGGGTTTCAGTGGCACCAATGGGGGTGGGGGGAGAGGGAAAGGATTTGTGAAAGGTCTCTAGGTTCCAAACACCGAGTGTCCTTGGAGGCCAGCTTAGAAGGGACAGTTTGAAGAAAGTCACATTTGGAAATTTTCCTAGGTTTGTGATTTTATTATTATTGTTATTATTTCATTTTTTTCTTGTAATACTAACAGGTTAGCAGTTGAAAACATGGGGTATATTTTAAAAGTATTAAAAAAAATTAATAGCCATTAATAAATCTCCAATCTAGATGTGATTTCTTCACTAACTTCACTGTTCCTGAGAGAGAACAGGCTCTCAAAACCCAAGGTGTGGCACCCAGCTTTGCAGAATCTACAACCACCCCTACACACAGGTGCCCCCAGCTGGAGCCTCGGGATCTGGCTGGAAGATACCATTCCCAGTTCTAATACTCTCACTTTGAGAAGAGTCAGAGTTGTGACCCCTATTGAATAGCAGTGTTTATAAAAACACGCATTCTTAGAGGAATGATCTTTGGAGGTACACTAGTCACGTGAAGCCCAGAGCTTAGGAACCAGGAATGTGATGGAACAATATAACCAAGAAAACATTTTCATCTGATCCTTTCCAGTCTAGATGGTATGTTTAAACTCCAGTCAAAATGAGTAAAGAAAAATTCTAAACCACAGGTCTTTTACTTTGGCAAATCCTGCGTGCTTGTCTTACTTGTGAGTGGAGCTGTTTCATTATAGTCACAGTTATCAGTTATTGAGTGTTTTGTGTGGATCAAGCACAGTTTTACATGTATTCACTCCTTAATCTTCACAACAGCCCTATGAAATAAGAGTTGTTATCATCACTGCTTTACAGACGGAGAAAGAGAAGCACGGAAGATTAACTTGCTCAAGGTCACACAGGTAGTATGTGTTGAAGGTCGAACTCAATTCTTTTTTTTTTTTTTTTTTTTTTTGTGAGATCAGCCCTGTGCTAACATCTGCCAATCCTCCTCTCTTTTTGCTGAGGAAGACTGGCCCTGGGCTAACATCTGTGCCCATCTTCCTCCACTTCATATGGGACACCGCCACAGCATGGCTTGCCAAGCAGTGCGTCAGTGCGCGTCCAGGATCCGAACCAGGGAACCGGGGGCCGCTGCAGCGGAGCGCGCACACTTAACCGCTTGCACCACCCGGCCGGCCCCCGGAACTCAATCTTGACAATTCACTTTCAGATCCCAAGCTCTTAACTAGTATGGTACATACCTTACTTTCAGCCAAAATTTTTTGAGCACCCTTGTACTTTAGAAATTTAGAGTCTTGTTTATATGTGTTGTTTTGCTCCTATAATTAACAATTAGATAATTATCTTTCAACACAAATCTTTGACCTAATCTCTAAATTATTAGGACAATAATTTTTTGTAACTTTACAGCAAAAAATTATATCTCAGGTTTTATTGTGAGTGATATTTTCTTCTCTTCCAAGAAAATGATGTTTTCCACTTTTATTACCAATTTCAATTGTATAGTTTGTGCATAGATCTTCATTCAATTAACTATTGGGATCTTACTGGTTTACTTCTCTTTTTGCATGAACTCTTTATAAATTATTATTGTGATTATTAACTTTTCACAATATTTAGGGCAAATATTTTTCCAAATGATTCTGTCTTCAATGTTTGGATGATTTCATGTACACATAATTTTAATATTTTATTTAGTCAAAACTATATTTTCTTGGTAATTTCTTCTTGATCTTATGAATCTTTCTAATTCAGAGTGTAGATAGATAATCATTAATCTAGACTATTCAAAGTGTGGTCTGCTGACTAATGTCAGGCTAAGAACTGGTCAGTAACAGAAATTGAGAAGAACCATTTAAAAACTTCTATAATGATATGTCAGTAATTCTATGTCCATTGAGTCTAATGATAAAAAAATAAAATAATTCGTTTTAATGCATTTTTTAAAGAATTGTCCATGACAAATTGAGGGAAGTTTGACAATCATCAATCTATATTTTTATCCATTTTCATCACTTGGAGAAGGAGGCAGCATTAAAAAACAGATTTGCTTTTGTTTTTATTTTTATCTGTTTTATTTATATACATACATAATTTAAATACAAGAAAAAGTTATTTTGATATATGCTACGTCATATGTTTAAACATTATTTGTAAGAACAGTTTACTGAGTAGCAAAATGGTGGACTAGGAAACTCCAAGCTCTCACTCCCCCAGAGAAACATCCGAAAAACAGCTAGAAGTTGTCTGAAACAACTTTGTAGGTAGGACCTCTGGAAAATAGTCAAAGGTTCACTTCCAGCAAGTAAATACCCAATTAAGAAAAAGCCATCTTCAAAATCGTAGGAAAGTTTGGCAGCATTTTTACTCATCCTCGTACAACCCCCTTCCCAGTGCAGTGGTGATATTTGTCTTGAGCAGATGGCAGCTCAGTTCCAAGATCCCCACCTTGAACCAGAGGCAATAGAGCAGACTTTATTTGCAAATTATTGTGTACATTTGTTCTAACTCATCTGTGGGATACCTGAAGGAATGACACTAGATACTCATCTCTGTTTTGCATATCTTGGAATGTAAGCAGGAAAAATGAAGGGCACTGTTTGTAAAAGCTACAAGGTGACTACAATCTCACAGACATTTGAGGCAACAAATAGCAGGTGGAGATATACAATAGGCCATCAAAGGCCCAGAAGAAACGCTGTGGCAAGATGCTTTGGGAAATTTAGGACACTCAAAAGCAGCCATGTATACAGAGGAATTTAGAAAACCATGTGCATGCCCATAGAAGACAGATGGTCAGAAAAGTACTGAAAAGACCTTAAGCTTTCACCTTGGGATGATCCCTAAGCTCAGAGCAAGCTTACCTAAGCGATTAAGGAGTG